GTGCCAGAGACAAGGCCAAACTAAACCACTGAAGACTGAGACACAATGACAGGTCAACACACTTGTCAGTCTTGCTATCAACACACACTGGTCTGGGCAACAATGAAATACAATGTATCTCCAAGCCTCATTTATGGTTATACACATATAGTAAAAAAATGCGTGTGAATAAGTTTATGGTGAGGTGTAGTATCTTTATATCTATTACATTGTTGAATCAATTACTCATGTCAGCACCATACCTTTCTATTGGATTTAAGTCATGCACTGCCAGGTAAGTTGTTATGTAACCTACAGAAGCAGATCACGGATATTTGTTGGCTTTACACACCTGGAGTGAAGGCTGGCCATAAGGTCCCACTGGTTAAAGAGGATTTACAACGGCATTACGAAGTAGCACTTTATGCAATTTATGGCTACATTTTCCAACACAAAGAATTTGACATATACAAAGTCTTTTTTGTGTTGCAATGTGCAGTAAAAAACCCTTCTTCAAATGAATCCTACACTGTACCAACACAGATTCATGGGCATGTGGAAGCACCAATCATGGTAAACTGGCCCGATCTGGCAACCACCATTTTTCCATTTATTGTCTGCTATACAATCAAGGCCATATCAGGACTGGTCAAACTACAGTGAGTGTACATGACGTAGTTTGTATCCATGTTTGTCCTTAATATTCTTAATATTAACATTCTTAACATTCTTAATATTTTCTGCTTCTTTCGATGGGCCGACTAATCAAAATGGTTCAGATGCCATCTGGGTAATTTGTCTGGTCATGCCGTACAAGTAGCAGCATGCCAAGAAGTCAGCTTTTCTGTAGTAATGTGCTGTACCTTTGCTCTCATTTGACTTCACATTCATTTACATGGGGATAAAGAAGAGATAAAGCCTCCAGTGGGTGACAGAAAGACATCAGACTGACCCAGGGAGAGGAGCAAGAGTACATTCGAATGTCCAGTGTTGTACATAATGTGGTCAACATTCCCTTAGAGTTAGACCAACATTCTGTGATCATTAGACGCTCCACACACAGTTTAAAAAGGGAAATGATAAATTTTCCTGACAGAACTGCCAGGAATAGCCTCCACTGGCCTACTTTAAACTGTTGGTTACTGCTTTATAGAGAACAGCCTAACATTCCACCCAGCCACCCAGAACAAACAGGCCCTCCCCACACATAAGCCTTCAGGATACATAAGGTCAAGAAATGGAGGAATTTACAGTCTTGCACATCCAGTAAAGTGTTACACAGTTGCAGCAAAAAACTTAAGCCTTGGATACTGTAAATCACTTTATTTTCGCAGTAACAATTTTGTGGTCTGAGAAAAATGATGGACATGTTTGAGGAACTAAATGTTCGCAGTGGCGGCAGGTGCAGAAGAAAGGAAGTCTGCAAATTATTTGTTCACGGTAATGATAAGATCGTGGTACATAGGTGACCCCGAAAACCATTAATATAAAATTTCTGCAAAAAATAGTGATTTACAGTATGCATTTGCCAGTGTACGATACATGTGCAACTGAAGGTAACATTTCTATACTCATCAGAGACTGCCTGAATGATAATGCTTACCTGTTGGATAATTATAGTGAAACAAATACGTGTAGCTACAAAATACTTCTGAGAACGCTAATCATGGATGAACTGACTTTGAAACTAGAGACGTGAATGTTTACATCATCAAGTTCAGCAGGGCTGTAAAATGAGCCTGTAATTTTCATCCGTAATGAATTTCCTTGTTATCTATGCTTTATTGATTTAACTATACTACCAGCATGAACATGCTTGGAGATGGCAGATAATTGATGAGAATTATGTACTTCTATATCTTCTGTACATACTGTAAAATCATTCATTTTCACAGGGTCACATTTCACGGTAGAAGGGAAAAAGGACATTTTGCCAGTGTTTTAAGTTTGTAGTTGAAACAATTCTGTTGTAGTGTACTGTAGTAATTATAATACATTGGAAAAGCATATTCGTGGTGTCACAAATTTGGGTAGAGAGATATAAGAAATAAAAACCAGCATGACAATTTCAAGATTGACAGTAATGATTCTGTAGATGGAAGGACATTCTTGCATGGACCGATGGTTGGCATGGTCAGCCCATGCAATGATTACTATGTATATGCATGTTCCCCATTTAAGTACATGTACGCAATTCTAAAACCTTTCGTGTCCAAACAGGTGTTCCAGACAGGCATTGAAGTCTGGGTGTGTAAATTACAGGTTTTTACTAGCGTTCCTAGTTTTACCACTGAACCTTTTTAACCATTTGCTAGGTTTGAATTTGTGGTCAACTCCAAATCGGGAGGGGTGGGGGGCATTTCGGGTGTGGTTATCATTAACCAGGTCAAACAGGGAAGATACCATAACCTAGTAACTAGAGATCACAGTGGCCAAGTGTTTCAAAATGTGTCGAGTTATCTAATGTCCTGTGTTGCCCCAGGCCCACTGTGCTAAATCTGGTCAAGCAGAGGTTTGCTAAGTAAGATGTTTACCCTGCACCTTACAACACTGCCCGAAATCAATGAAATTCTATGTTGGCAGCATTTGCAAAGAGGGCTTGGTTAAACACTGCTGTATCAATGGAAACAGGTTAGAACAAATAGAAGAATGGCTAGCAAACAGGTGGTCTAGAATGCTCTTAAGGCCCGTGATGATGTAAATAAAATGGGATATCACACGTGTTTGTAAGTGGGTTAGATGTTAGAATGATGTAACAGCTGTAGATCATAGCAGGGACAAAGATGTGGGTGACATAACAAGTCCCTTGACACTTGGGGTAATAATAGTAAAAACTAGGGTACAATTCCTGTACGCAAGAGGCAATAAGAAAGGCACCCATGCAAAAAACATGCAGTGTGAGTAAGAATCTCCCTGGCTTTTCCTCAGAATCCAGTGCCATTTCATTACAGGTTTTTATAGGGTCTACTTGTGTGCCTGCTTCCCACGCTCACTTTCCTTGTCTAGTTGAGAGTGTTGCATTTCAATCTGCGTCTTTCTTTCCTCTTGACTTAAGAGGGAAGGTCTGGGGTAACAGCGTGAATGCAGATTATAATACAGGGCTTGAAATTCATTTTCGGGAATAGGTACACGGGTGAAATATATACATATACGGGTGAAATATTGAATCTGAAATTCCTAAGCTAACTTCAGAATTTTTAACAGATAATACATGTATGATAAAGGTTTTCTTATTTTCTTTTACACTTCAGTTTCAAGAATATGGTGCAAACCAGTGTACAATAACTGTGTGTAATCTACACAAATGTCAAGGTGCAAAAAACTCACTGCTCAAATTTTTTGTGTACAAAAGTGCCTATGCACCCAGTATTTCCAGCCCTGCAATGTGTACTTCAGACTCCCTGAAATGCAAGTCATACACTTGTACAGCTGGAGCTGAACATGGGAGGGTCTGTAACTTCCAGAGGATCTTGTAACACAAAAGCAGCCTGGCTAAGTCTTAAGTGGTCACTTATCAACAGCTGACTGGACCTGACCCCTGACCTTGTTATCCATCCAACTGTAAGAATGTATTTCCTGTTAAAATACCTCCACAAGAATAGTACCATAGACTCAGAGGTTGCACAGATACAGGCAATACATTCACAGCATTGCCAGCATTGCTACATCACGAACAGGACATCACTACTCACTTACTCACTATCCGATTTATAGTCTGATGTTCCTATCTTGCGGGCTTTCAGATGCTTGCACTACAGAGATGAACAAGTTTGACAAACCTGCTTTTCTAACCCAGATACATGTTGTATAATAGAGCAAGTTCCACCAATGCACTAGGCAAATTTTATGCAGCATGTACAACACATGCCCATAATGCATGAACATAACCAGTAATGTTATACATTACAGTAAAACAAGAAAGAAAGAAAATCTATAACAAACATGGCTTGCAAAGAATAGCATCAAAGAATGTCATATCAGGTAACATTAAGACAGGGATGGGGAGGGGGGCAACTTTGTTTCTTCAATCCTGTCAAGACAGTGAAAAAATTTTACTGCAAAAAAAATGTAATTTTTAAGTAAACAGTGACAGCAATTAGAACTATGTTACAACTTACAAATAACCCTTCTATTATGTGAGTAACGTTACTTTACTAATGGCCCTGGGCAAAATGCACACATGCGGAACACTGCCACAAACAGAGGCACTACTGGGGAAAAACGTCACGAAAACAGTGCAAAATGTTCTTAAAAATCATCACGGCAAAGCTGGTATGTCACTAACAATCAAGCATATTGTAACCAACACCCTTCATTCTTAGCATAGACCGGCTATAAGGGCTAACATGGTGGTCAGTTGAAACAACATGGAGACATTTGATGGTTGAACTTTGCCCCCCAGCCACACCCATGACTGTGCACATTAATTGTCCCACTTTCCCGGCGGGTGGACAAACAGCTGCTTATTGCGATATATGACGCAAAACTGTTACCATCGTGATACAACTGAAATGTGCATGCAAATATCAAACCAGTTTCACTGATGACAGTCAGAATATTGTTGGTTGTTTCTTTCACATTGTTTCATTTATTGATTTAATGTGCCTACTACTACTACGTAATTTTGCAACAACAAAAAATGGTAACGGTAAACCAACAACATTTTTAGACCAGTTTCATTGACTGCACTTTCTCTCTATTCCCTATCTCCTATATCCAATAGTGGGGCCAAGATAAACAAGACTTCACAGTCAAAGCCACAAGGCAGGAATAAATACATAGAAGCCTTTGGGACCAGTCACTTTGGCTTGACAAGAGCTTACATGTACCCACCCCATTGGAGGGACAAACCTTAAGCCTCCTACACAGGGTATATCATCAAGCAATGGCCATAACATCAATAACAATCAGAGATTATAGCACCTGTTAGAAGAACAAACGAGTGAGATACATCTGTATGTCTGATGCAATAGATAACTTTAACATTTGAAAGACACATCTTCATAACTGTACACACTTACCGGCTTGGCCGAGTGCCTTGTAAAACCTATATTCCAGATGCAACTGTGGTGCTCTGGATTTCATTGGTTCCTGAGAAAAAAATGAATTAAGCATGTAAAAAAAAGGATGCGAGGACGCAGCTATTGGCAACCATTAGGTAAGCAAACAATGGTCAGCAAATAACAATGGCAGTACAAGAGCAAAATGGCCACTGCCAAAATTCCATAACACAAAAATGGCTGAACAGCAAACAATCCTTACCAGCTTGATGGCCACATGCTCATTGTTGTACAAGTTCTTTCCTGTGGAGAAATATCACACCCAAATTGTCAGCTGAGTGTTTATATTTCATTTTTTCTTATCTACATCACCAGACAAAGCTTGTGCACATGAGTCATTGCCAAATCAACCACAAAAAGACAAACAGTTGAACATAATTCACACAAGTCAAAAAGAGGAAATATATATGGCAGGATTTCTCACCTAATCTTAATTCTCCAAAATTTCCACATCCAATTTTCTTGCCGACTCTGAAGTTGGGCCCTACCATGAGCACCCCAGAGTTGGAAGGGTTGTGGGTACGACCGCTGCGCCCACTCGACTTCGACTGCTTTCTGTCAGCAGCGATTCTGTCCCGATCATGATCCATCCTCTTGTGCATGGCCACACATAGAAAAGCACGATCCTAGAAATGACGCTAGGCAACTGATTAGCTTTTTAGCTTATTTGTCCCGATGCCGGCCAGCAGCACCCCGCAAATAAATCTTCCTCTTGGCCCTCGACCTTTTCTCCAACAAGCCTTGTGCACTACAGCGGTGCGGCCCAGAGATTATTTTCCTCTTGAACACTGCGTTATCTTATGGCGTTTCTCCCCATTCTTGGTAGCAAATATTGCGACATGGAGCCTTCCGATAGAATCTAGGATGTTCTATGCCCTGTTATTCCTGTGGAGAAGGGAAGAATGTCGTTAATATTAAGGTAGAAAGGAGCAGGAAATATAACTGGGTGTCAGGAACCATTTTCGAAACCGGTTGCCCAGTGGCGGACCAACAAAACCCGACATTATTTTAGGCCCCTTTATGGCATTATCTGAGCATAAAACAACACGCCGTTTGTCCACATTCTACATAAGAAATGCATGAACCAAACCTGTTGGCGATTACATGCCAAACTGGTTGCAAAGCGTGCTTTTGGTACGTTTTCTTGGACAGGACCTGGGTTAGCTGATCAAGGCGGTAAACAGTGCAGCCTGTCGGGTCAGTTCTTCCCTGCGCATGGCAGGTGAATTCCCGTCGCCAAGCCGATGGGCGGGATGTTTTCTCATAACATAGCAACAGAGGCTGGTGTGCGGAGCTCAACAGGAGAATAAAGCACAAGAAACAGGCAAAATCGGGTAGATCCAAAACAGAAAATATAGTTTGTGATTTGAATACCTGGGCGCCAAACTCCTCCGTGTTCCAAACCAGCTCGTGACGTCACATAGTCTGATCGGGCCCAGTTTCCGGTAAGATGGCGGCCCTGACGTCACTTCCGGCCTTCTGGGCCTGCGCAAACGGACAAACATGGCGGCGGTTTCAAACTTTCAGCTATGAAAAGACGACAGAAAACGCTGAAAAACAATGGTTAAAGACCAGTTTCTTGTCGTCTTAGGTATCCTCGAGGGTGAGAAAAGATGTTTATATACTTTTACATCCGTATTCATAACTTCTTTTGCGTCATAGTGCATTATTTTGACCCTACTTCCGGGGTTTGTGAGAAGCAATTTTTTTGCCTTCATTATCATAACAATCTCTGTTTTCGTGATGTATTGATCATGAACAGGTCGTAAGTTTCCAAAGCGTTCACGGCACCAGATTGTTGTCGAGGCCAAGTTTGACGGAGAGCTACTTTCCACGGATCCAGTCGATCATACTGAGACTCCTGACCTGAACACCGAATTGGCCTGGGAACTCAACAAAAAGTCACTGCACCAACACAGGTGATTTTTTTTCCCAGCACCATCCTATCAAAATAAATAAATTATCTAACATTTTTAACCTCCTTAGTCCTATGGGTATAGAAAGGGACTAACCTCCTTATTATCACAAAATAAAGCACAGAGGGAGTAAAGGTGGATTATTCAGTGGATAATAACTGGTCATAGTAACCAAATCCTACTCTTATCTAACTAAGTTAGTTGTTTAAGTTCTCACATCAATTAACACATTGGTACAAACAAGCTATCCTAAATGACCACACTTTTTGACTGGCCTGATGTTATGATGTTATTATCCATATCAAATGAGGGCTGCTGATTCCGTCAATGGCATCAGTCACATATTCATAAATTGCAGAACATCACTCTTTAATCTCATGATTTGGCATTTTGAGATTTTTTTATGACATCTGTGAATAATTTCATCAGGTTGGTAAATATCGAATGTGTTTAACCACAACCAAGTTTCCTATCAATGTGTGTGACATAGTCCTACTTTTGTCCTAAGGGTAAAAATTGCTTTGATATTAAAGAACTAGAATATATTATATACCCCACTCTGGTGACATGTCTTGCCATTGGTCCAGGTTACAGAGAACTCCTATCAAGCTCCAGTGCTATGCTGTGGACACTCTAACATCTGCTAAAGAGGCTGTTGGATATGTCATCATAGACATTAGACAAGCCAAGCAGGATGATCCGGTAGGTACATTATGTACCTGATACAAGGTACAAGTTCAAACTAGTTGTCAATAGTGTGTGTAGTCAGTGGTTAGTGGCCCTGTCTATGATGAACCAAGCATTTTTTTCACCGAGAATGTAAGAAAATTTGAGATGTAACACAAGTGTACACACTAATAATGACTGCATGGATTTGACTTCCCACAGACACCAAGCCCTCGATGGTACAGCCTACTGAGTTCCAAGTACAGCAGATACAAGCCTGAGATCAGGGCCAGCATCTCTATAGAGACAGACAGTGTGGACAAAAAAGACAGCTCCTTCAGAGCTAAGGATGCTCCTCCAAGAGATGGTAAGAGCTTAGCCTGTGGACGTGTTGCTGGTAAAAATAGATTTAGTGTTCAAGTGTGCTTGGGTTGGTCATATGACGTCAACACATATACATGGTCTTGACTCTTCAGAATAGAAGTTTGAGTTTAGAAAATTGTTGGTGCCATGGAGTCTATGGAAAGAACAACCTTGACTTTGTGAATTGTTCCCTTGAAGGTTAAGTTTGGTGTAGAAAGATTTTGTGTTCAAGTGGGTGTGGGCTGGCTATATGATGTCAACGCAGTGATGCAATATTCTCGGAATGTATAGCAATACCTACTAAAAAGTATTACACAGTTTCTTCATTATGCTCTATAAGACTACTACTAGAGTTTAGACATGGTTTATCATCCATCCATGTCCATCCAAATTTAAATTTTAGCATGTCATTTCCTCAATTCTGCATGCACATGTATGTGAAAGTTAATTTTGCTTCCTGGGCACTTAAAGTATTAAAGTATTGTTGTCCCCTCAAATTCTGAAAATTGTCCTCTGCAGCTTGGAAAATACAATTTTTTCCAGCAGCTGAAAGTTTGATAATTTTGCCATATTACAATGTATATATATATACCAGTTTGTCTTAAAAAGTTAGTTGCAAAGTTTGAGAGCAAATGAAAAAAGAATCTTCTAAAATCAATAAAATAAGTAGAAACCATTATGGTGAACTACAAACACAGTAGTAGCATCAGAGCATCATATTTCAGTCATACATTTAGGAGGGGACGGTCAGTGGGCATGGGAAGGGTGAAAGTTATGAAGAAAAAAAGTAATTTGATTATACCCAGTGATACAAACATTTGGAGTGGCCAAGCAGACTGTGAGTTTTACTTTACAGCCCCCTCTCCTTCTACCACCTCTGGTTCAGACATTGACCCGCGCACCCTGAAGGCACAGCTGAATGAGGAGGAGGGGTACTACCAGATCGGCCCGGCAGACAGGTGTACTCAACACTTCGTACTCTCTGTCACCGTGGCATTTGCCTCCAACTTGCCTCAGGTATTTATGGCTAGTATCGTTTACATTTCATTACAGTAACCATGAACAGCCCTAATATTAATATTCCTTCTGAAAAACATTGCATCAGCCAAGTTTATTTCTGTACACATACATGTAGGTGTATTCAAAGTGGGTAATAGGAAGGGGGAAGGGCTCATGGTGCTACCTGAGGGTCAGTGAACCAGTGTTTCCGCCAGACTGCAGCTGAGAGGCCGTCCAGTTGGGAAGGGCCGGGTCGCGAAAATGAATTAACTTAGGGAACACGTCGCGAAAATTAACTGAGGGGGCGGGGCATTTGTTTACACTTGTTTACAAGTTGAAACTGTCCACAAGCATTCCACATTTTTTTTTGTATTGACATAAAAACACAGTTACAGATGGCAAACGTATCGTCAGGAAATTATACTGTTGCAAAACTCTGCTGCAAAACTCCAAACATCGGCATCATTTAATTATAACCTCCGGTAGCGCCCGCGCTAGCCGGATTTTTAATAGTGAAGAGCCTTGCTTCGTTCGTACTCGTACTTATTCCGTACATTTCCGCTACGAATTACTAGTTAATATCAAGCCAAAAATACATCAAAACATGTAAACAAATGTCATCTTATCTCTCATACACGAGACAAATTTTGAAAAATAATTGGCTGTATCGTAGCTTTCATTGCTGTTTCATTCAACAAAAATGCTCCTTGATTGTAAAATGATCACTCATCTGTTGTCTCCAGTACAGTGTCAAATGGTAGCGTGATCGTAGCGTGCGAAAAATTGTCGTTAAAAGTCAGAAAATCGCCGGAAAAATAAACTTGCAGCACGCATTCTCAACCTCGCCGGAGAAGGAAATACGCGCCATTTTGTCATTAACATGTAAGTAGCAGCGTGAACTCTACGCTCTGATTGGTTGACCTCATATGACCTGCGCTCTGATTGGATAGAGCCATCTTTGCCGGCATAGCTGTAGAATTTGTTTGTTGGCGAAGAGAGTTACACTACGCTACTTTCTACGGTGTTTCTACCGCTAATTAATAACAACCCATTAAAGAAATTCATTATGAAGAATTTTTTGGGAGAATGTATGCATCCATATGCCGATTTGTGGTGCCTTTCACGTATTCAAGCAAGCCGGAAGTGTTAGCGCACCGCGGCGTGGATAGCAAACTGCGGCGTGGATTTTCATGCAACATTTTACCGGATGGAGACTTGAAAAACGGGTTTTAATGAGATTAACGTATGCGAAAGGCGCCGGCATCAATTGTTCGTCAGCATGATAACAATAGCAAAACAAACAACGTGTGTCTTTCTTGCCTTGGACGGCGTCCTCGTCTACAGCAACAAAACAAAGACTGTCAATTTCTCTGATTTTTCCGAGTCTCGAAATTTTTTAAGACGACGGCCTCTGTCCGAGTTCAGGCCGTCCAAAACGACACCAGGCCGTCATATGATGGGTGGACGGCCCTCTGGCGGAAACACTGCAGTGAACTGTTAGTGCCATAAAGGAAGTAGCATGCTAACCTGGCCAGACAAAAATGTCTGGAGAACCATTGGTGATCTGAGGTTCTGAGGAAATTCTGCATGCTGCATACATATAGATTGTAAACAAATAAGTTAAAACACTAACTAGGGTGTTTAGAACCTCACTTAGGGTAGAGAAAACACAATGATTTTTAGGTTAATGGTTGGGTTTTGTTTGATCAGCATCTCCTCCTATCAAGATGGGCAAGAACTACAGGGTAGTTTTGTTTGACCCAACCCAGAGGCAATTTTCACCACTGACCTTACTAGGACAAAGTATGTCATTTAGCTGCCATGAAGAGTTAGCAAATACTTCAGCAGTAAACTACACACCTCAATGGCATCAGTGGTATGCTCTGCCTGAACAGTTTAGTCTAAGGTAAACAAAGCATTCTGTTCTTTGATTACTTTGAACATGCCTGAGATATTTCAGGGGTTGATGGACACATCAAATTTGAAGGAAGACTGACTGTAGGGGCCTTTACAGGGCTTGACATGCCCTTTTTTGCTCATTGTCATAACTTTGTAACTCTGTCAAAAATTTGTAATATGAAAGAGCACAATGGCAGTCAGGTATTGACATTCCCATTTTAAACTGCTGTATGAAACACCAGAGTGTAACTTGTAATGAGCTATCTTAATATTGGTTTTCAGCTATGCCTTTGTGATTGTCTGCTGTAGTTCCAGTCTAAGTCAGTAGGTGGAAGGCTAGCAGCAGCCTTTAGTTATTCTCATAAGAGCCATTATATTAGTACCTCACTTGTAGAGATAAATTCAATAGATTCATTGTAATGCAATACAAGAGCAAGTATTTATCATCAATCGGGATGCTCTGTGCTGAATCTTATCATTTTTACAACTATCTTGCAGCTTGTTCCGATGTCGATGCCGCTCCCCTCAAGAGGCAGTGGGTTCTTCTTTTACTACTCCCTCCTGGGTAACGATGTCACCAACGAGTCCTTCCACAACCTGCTGAACCCTGACTTCCCGGCGGAGCGTGCGTCTGTCCGTGTGCGCAGCAGTGTGCAGGTTCTCAGGCTCTTCCTGGCCGCTCAGCCTGGACTACAGGTCAATTTGTCATGTGTCTATATTCCAAAATAAAGAAAATATATGCAGGTCTTAGGAAAGTAACATTCTTGTGACATAATACTGTAATGCACTGTTGTAGCCAGCATCCATCTTTCTGTCATTTGGTGGAATTTTGTTGCTTATGTCAGACAAAAATTTTGCACAATCTTCCATCTTTGCGAGAGATGTCATTAAACTAAACTTAGTCTACCAGCAAAACTTGCCCCTCAAAATGCAGTAAATAACATTTCAGTGGGTTAAGATTTCAAAATTTTCTTCCCCCCAAGGATTGTTGCAATGTGATGTTTAGGCCATGTTGATTTGATTATATGGATGACATCCTCCGGGAGCCCCAAAACTGATGCGCGCGTGCGAATAAAAAAAAAGTTTTGCAAAAAAAAAAGTTGCTTTCACTATGAAATCTACGTGGTCATGAAGGTTGAACAAATGGCACAGAATATGTTATGGCGAATAATCTACTCTTCGAATTCATTTCTTTACATTTTTGTCTTTTTTCATTTGATTTTGGCATTCTACGACATTGGTATCGTTTCTAAATGTTTTCCTTGCAACTTATGGTATATTTTTGCTCATTTAGCAACTTTTTTGCACAATTTACAGTATGGTTGAAAACTTTTTTTTTTTTGGAAACGGTCGAAAATTCATGCGCGCGCGGATGTCATCCATATAATCAAATCAACATGGCCTTACATCAAACAAAAATGAGATGACAGAAAAAAATTTGACTGGCTAGAACACTGCAGTCGTGTAGACTGTGTTAACAATATAGTCATACCAAGGAGGTTTCTCTTTTTTAACTCCATGGTCATACTGATATAGACATAGCTTCATATGAACAAGAAAAAGTGTGGCAGAAAATCCTGGGTGACAGAGAACACTTGGTGATGATACTAACAGTGAGCCTTCCCTTGCTGCAGATCCACCTGTGTTGTGGAGACCACTCCCTGGGCAGTACAGAGGTCCCCCTCAACACCCTGCTCAAGTCAGCCTCAGACCAGATGGACAAGCCAGCCAGCGTGGAGGGGTCCTTCGTCCTGAACCCCCCCAACAGGGTCAAACAGCAGCTACCCCCCACTGGGGGTGACATGGTCCCCAGTGTGGGGGTGTCCATAACACTTCGGCAGGACACTGGGAGTGGACCACCCTCTCAGGTAACATTACCATAGAAGTACAAATGCATACAGAGATACTTAAATCTTCCTCCATACCATGTAAACAGTAACACATCAAATTTACTTTCAAATAGGTATATTATGTTTAATGCAGAGTTGGAATTCTGGGTTCTTGATATGCTATTTTAGTATAAACACCATGGTAGAATCCTGAAAAATACATTACATTTTAACTTCATGCAGTACCAAGTCCAGTGTACAATATGAAGTTAGGGACATATCAGCCAGTGTCATAAGTGTACAAGATGTTCCTACATTGTGTTGTGTGCATGTTTGTTTCCAGCCGACTGACTCCACTTCTCCGGCAAAGGAGCACCCTATTACACCCAGCCAGCCACGTGAGACACGGGTGTCTGACAAGAGACCACAAACGCCACCCCCAGAGGAGCGGCCCCCACCCCCTCCCCAGGGGCACACCCCACCCCAGAGGCTGCCACCCTCTCCACCTGTTAGCCCATCAAGGTCAGTAGAAAGTTTGTTTGTTGAAATTGAACTGAACTATTTGGCATTCCATTCGTGCTATTGAACAAGTTAATGTCATGATTGATACTAAAAGTTAGTAAAAGCCAAGCTTTTTTGTGTCTGACAATTTGTCTTGGCTTCCCAGTGATACACAGGGGACAGAGCAAGGCCTAAGCAGTTTGGGGGAGGATGGGAGCAAGAGGGAAGCCAGAGAACAAGGTGAAACCAGGACAGCTGGTGAACATGGTAAACCTACAGAGGACCCAAAACTGCCAGAGCCAACCCATCCTTTAAGCACACAAGGTAATGATCTATCTAGTCTAACTGTAACTTAAATAGATTGAGATATGTTTGTATATGCTCTTCAGTCTAGTGTCAGTTTAGTGTCTGATCTCCGTCTTTCAAGGGTTAAATGTGCTTGCACACTGATGATGAGGCTTGAGCATATTTGAGGTGTATCTAGATCCTGCTAGTTGTGTATGTGTGTGTGTGTAATTAGATGTAATATGTAGGACATGTCCAGTCTCGGTGCTGAAGACTTCCCTAAGTCACATCCAGTCATATGTATTCCCCTGCCACTGCAGCCAAGCCTCCAGTAGCAGACTCTCGCCCCAGCTCTGTCACCACGTCCCAGCCGTACGTGTCCATCCCTCCTGCTGCACATCACTTCTGCTTCTCACTGGACCTCAGGAGCATCCAGGACGTGGAGACCAGCACCAGTGCTCCACTCTACATCTTCCTCAGGTGGGTTTAAAAGTCTTTGTCTTGATACTTTGAAAAGACTGAATATAGGATGTGACAACTGGAGTGAAAAATACATCTCTTTACACTGTAAATCACAATTTTTCCGTTGAAGTTTTATATTCGTGGGTTTGAAGTCACTTCTATACCACAAATTTATCATTACCGTGAACAAATGATTCACTGACTTTCTTTTTCTGTCACCTGCCACCACTGTGAATGTATAGTTCTGTGAACATGTCCATTTTTCTCAGACCGCAAACTTGTGCTACCGCAAACACAAAGTGATTTACAGTATTTACAGATCAGTAACCCTGCTGGAAAAATCACCATACCTTGTTTTTTCATGACTGTGATCATATCATCTTTCTGTCATATACACACCAAAATGCTGCATGTACTGTTTCTAAACAAAGCTTGTGTTGTCAAAAGCAGAGTAGGCTATTGATATATTAAACCTACTCTATTGAAAGTGATAATTTTGACACTACTGCCCGTGTGTTCTTGCATCATGCAGGTACACGTACCCGTTCTTCGGCAGTGCAGCCCCCATCCTGACTCACCCCCCTGTGGAGATCAGGAGGAACATGGAGGTGTTGTTACCTCAGTCTTTCTGTGCCTTTGACTTCGCCTCAACACCACAGCAGCTGCAGGACACATTCACACGGTAAGGAGGGAGGAAATGTCATGTTGTTGGTCTTACAAAGTGTGAGTCTGTGTAGTATCTTCTAACCTCTTTGGTTGTGGTTCTGATTCTTTAATGAACAGCCATAAAACATAAAACAATTCTGTCCTTACTGCACAGAATCCCCATCATGGTGGAGGTGTGGCACAAGGACAAGATTTCCCAGGATGCATTAGTGGGTGTGGCCAGGATTTCTCTCAACTCCATCATCACAGCTGAGAAGGCCAGATTTGTGGTACGTTAAACGCATCTGAAAGAGTAGAATTCTTCAGGCCCAACTTACAGTATGTGTACTGGCAACGTGTTGGGATGATCATCGAGAGCAACAGTTTTAAATCTCAGTTGAAGTATGCAAGACCAAGTGAATCACATGTAGTATATTCATATGTCTGGGGTGAATGTTTTCAATGGAGATAGTTGACAACCAATTTTCCAGACTGAGGATGGTTTTGTGTATAAGCTGAATTGTTCTTGTGTTCTGTACAACTCATCACTGCAACATAAGTAAGTACAGTTGTACATTGTATTTCAACTGTCCAGAATGCCCAGGGTGTGAGTGGATGGAGACAGAGTCACAGCACCAGGATACCAGTCCTGTCTGTGGATGGGTGAGCCAACTTGCATCATGAAAGCCAAAATTGCTAGTATATAGCTTTGCAATTATCAGATAAAAAGTTTGTACATGTATATGTTTGTGACAGACCATGTACTATACAGATTTTGTTCTAAGTAATTGTCCTAAGCTTTCCAACACACAGTATTGCAGTTCAATTCTAACTTAAGGTCTTTGTTAACAGACTGATCTGTGATGGTTTTAGCATTTTGTGTTTTTCTGGTCACCACAGTAACCTAAGGAAGGTGGGAGAGGTGTATGTTGTCATGACTCTGGAGGACCTTGGTCAGGTGACTACACAGCAGATCCTGATTGGCTCTGACACATCTCAGGTGACCAATCACAATTGATATTTGTCTCCAAGCTTTGATTTCTTGTACCAATGATGTGAGTGATAAGTTGTTAAACATTGATTGAAATGTGTGTACGTGTACTTCAATGGTTTGTATATTGCTGTTGTCAGTCTGCGTCAGTGCCTGTGGCCCCACCCCCTGCCCCGGTGCCAGCCCCTGCCCCCTCCCCACCCCCTGCAGACCCCCGGGAGACTGTGGAGTACCAGATGGCCATGGAGCTGGAGATGTGGAAGGAGCAGCAGGAGAACATGTTTGAGTCACAGGTTAGAAAAACTATGGGGACAATACAGTTTACCTTTATAACTTCAGGCCTTGATAACTCCAAAATACAACGTGTTCTGATTATATTCAACAACAATACCATTATTGATTTAATATACACCCATCACTTGTTATTACCTCCATATACAGATTTTTTTTGTTTTCAGTGTGCCTGCGTCTGTGTTTCCATAGCTACAGTTGTATTTGGACATGCTAGTTGAACATTATGCTGTTATATTATCTTGTTTTGTTTTGTTCTACAGTTAAAACAAAAGGAGCTCCAGACCATGCAGGCGTTAGCAGAAGAGTGGAAGAGAAGAGACAGGGAGAGAGAACTCCTGGTGCAGAAAAAGGTAAATAAAGGTTGTATTTTTGTCATGCAGAACATATGCATTTAGGCAGTAGTTGTTATTAGAAGTAGTATTTAAGCTAAACTATTTGAAGCAATCTATATCATTTTGAATACTAGTATACATCATAAGAACCAGTCAGACCTATTGTCTCAGTACTAATCATACAAGGGCTTGTTCTCAGCTCACAGAGTACCAACAACTGGAGGAGAAACTTCGAACAACCCTGGCTGATCTGGAGAGGAGAGAGAAACAGCTGACCTCAGGAGAGGCAGAGGTAGGACTATCATAGCAGTAGTGGGACATCAAGAAGTAGATGACAATTCAACAACATTGTACAACAATTCTTAAAGAAGTTAGAAGCTTAGCCTTGTGGTAGAGACATTAGCTGTTGAACTATACTACAGTAGTCTGAAAAACGTAACTTTGATGGAAAAGTCTAAAGAGGATGTAGGGTATACTCAGTCAGTATGACAGATGTAGGGTATACTCAGTCAGTATGACAGATGTAGGGTATACTCAGTCAGTATGACAGATGGTATCATTATCTGAATTATCAAATCAAGTGAAAAGGCTTTAAAAGTGTGTTGTGTCATAGAAGATGGCATAGGATTTGGTACTGAACACTTTTTATTCCGACGGTCTCTCAGGTTGTTCGTATGAAGGCAGACCTGCAGCGGGATCACGATCGCACGCTGACAGAACTACGGGAGGCGTCGCGCCGACTGAAGGAGGACTGTGACCATGAGGTGCAGCTGGAGAGGTGAGACATGCAGTACAATGTCAGGCTTTTACTATCTCATAAACAGCTTTCGTACAAACATGTATATCTAATAGTCTGTTAAATTTTTGATCTGCCATGATGTATGATCTAACAACATGACCAACAAACTCTGCAAACATCATTGATGCATAAAAGCTATCTGTACTTACTTCATACGAATATGGTACATTTTTTCTTGCTGTAAAACACACTAGACTAAAGTTGTCTGACTTACTTTGCCTGTTTGCAGGGCTAAGGTCAGAGAACTGGAGCTACACAACCAGAGACTACGTGAACAGGTTAGAAAACATTGTACCACTGTTCTACCCAGCCTGAAATTTTTTCAATCATCTTGATTTTGTTTGACATAACATCATATCTGTATGGAAGAGCGACAATTTTAGGGGGGTCTGCCATCGTACCTCATTCTATGAAAGACATCAAACTGTGTAGTCTGTTTCCTGTGGAACTGATTAGTTAATGAATAAGTGAATAAAGTTGAGTTTCACCATGACTTGTCTTCCTGCCACAGTTGCAGGAGGCAGAGAGACGGGTACAGCAGAAGGAAAAGGACTTTGATGAGTACCGAGGCCAGCAGGCAGGGAAACCTGAGTACAAACTACAGTCAGAGATCAACCTCATGACTCTAGAGAAGGTCAGGAATACGTGTGTTGCCTAATTTGCATGCTTGTGACAGCCCACTTGTAAAGCATTTGTAGTCATTTTGTAAGTGACAGCTGTAGAAACTGATGGAGTAAAGCCACAATGGACTGCATTTGTCCAGTCATATTGTTCATGTTCCCTTCATGGTCTTGAAGTGTTCCTGTTCCTTAGTGGCATTCTTGTCCAGCTTACATCCTCTCCATTAGAGAGTGACCCATGTCCCTATTCAGCCACATCAACCAGACCTTTAAGTTTAACATGGAAATTATCCCTCATGAAAGATAGAATAAATCTGTTTCAACATGTAATTTCTACATTTATGATTATCTTTATAGTTTGTTTTGTATTTTGGTCTTGAGGCTGATATTAAGGAAAAAAAAGTTGGTTTGGAACAGTTCACATTGTGTTTCAGGTTGAACTGGAGAGAAAGCTGGACTATGTGGCCAAGTCTAAGCTTCACTACAAGCAGCAGTGGGGAAGGGCCCTGAAGGAACTGGCCAGACTCAAGCAGAGAGAACAGACCAACGCTAAGGCTAGACTCAAGCAGCAGCAACAGGTGGGTGGACTTTACTTTGTATTCTCATTTGAGGATGATATTCCTTAACAATTATATGATCAATCAAGCTATAGGTCTACAGGGAATATGTTGATGAAAGGGAAGACTCTCAATTATGAATCTTGTTGATATAAGAAAGTAGCCTTGGCATAGAGATTCATGTACATGTAGTTACTGGTAGTAGGTAGTACAACTTATTTCCCCTTCTACCATGGAAAAGAAAGTGTTAAACCCTGCAAAGGCCATCTCCATCCATGATCCATTGTGCAGATAAGATGTTAGTATTGTGGTTCTGTAGGAACTGGAGCACATGCGGCTGCGTTACCTGGCCGCTGAGGAGAAGGAGATCGTCAAGGCAGAGAAACAGGAGCTGGAGACCATCAAGGAAGAGCTAACCAGGTGGGATTTCTAACTTACTCATCATTTGTCTATTTAGTGTAGCAATGGAATTTTTATTGTACAAGCAACAGAATATTTGTTTGAATCAAAGCCATCTATTCAAGTAATAAGAGATATTAAGTAATATTTAACTGATTGAATTCAAGTTTTCAGCCTTATTGTGTTGAGGAGGCAAATGGGGCAAGACCTTCACTTTCTGTTGATAGACATTCATGTATTATATTTGTTTGTCGTACTTAAATCATATCATTTACAAATGTACCATTATGTTATTGTGGTTTGATACTATGTTGGATGGTTCAACTTTTTAAGTTATTTTCCTCTTTTGAATAGATAAATAAAAAAACTTTTTGTGTTGAGTGTAGATTGAAAGACCAGCGTCTCCCCGAGCAGCCGGCAGCACCTGACACCAGGCGAGCGTCTGACGGACACCTGGAGCACATGCAGCCGCTGGTGCCGGAGGATGACACCTCCATGATCGATGACCACGTGACCAGACTGATCGAGGAGAGAGACACCCTGCTGAGGACGGGAGTGTACACACACGAGGACAGGATCATCACTGAGCTGGACAGGCAGATCAGGGAAGCCATTGCCAGGAAAGGGGGGCGTTAGCTAAGGCAGTGAAACTATTACATGGAGATCCATTACATGGATATCTCTTCTATGTTTAAAGTGAATACTTTCAAACCAACACAAGGTAAATTTTCTTACCCAGTTCCTCTGGTCTTCCTGGGTACTGGTCGAAAGCTCTAGGTGAGAAAATTATCTTGACTATGTGTTGGATCAATATTTTAAACTTTAAACATGTAACTACCAACACAGATGAACATTCATGATAGTATGAGATCTCACCTACTGGTTTCTGTGTATAACACTCACTCAGTGCAGCTAACACTTGCTGAAAATATATTCCAGTTGTACAAAGTAATTTCCAGTCATTATCCAGTTGTACAAAGCCATTTTCAGTATGATTCCCTTTAAAGATGGAAGTTTGGACAGCTTTAGCCATGTTTTATATATCATGTTTGTTCGGTGCAGATGAAACAGGCCTTAAGATATTTTCCCTAAAGCAAATAATGTATATACATTCCTCAGGAGTTCTATGATGACCCAAGGAGATTTCATGTCACTGAACAAAGTTTGTACCTTTTATGTGGCACTGTGTCATTCCAAATAATTAGTACCAGACTTTTCTATGCATGGAACTTAAGCAAAATAATTCAGGAACCTTCTCACTCACTGTTGTGACAGTTGGCACTTGAAGTATGTACCATAATACACATCTATTCTGCTGTTTTAGAATGTTAGTGTTAGTAGATACAGAATGTATTGTATGATATATTTTATGATTTTTGCAACAGGTGATTATTATGTTGAAGTGCATTTGTAGTTTATGTACTAAAGGGCTTCCAAAAACTGTTTTGAAACATTTCCTAATATGAGTCTGCATTCTTTTAGCTTGTAAAATTGCATGTTGTCTGTATCCTTACAGATAGTTGTTTGTAGCCCTGGGAAGTAATATCATCATGTTGGGAAAAACTTGAAGAAATCTTACTAGCCTGTTTGAACTTAAAATGTTTTATCTACACAAGATTGGTGGTTAATGTAATTTTTTTACTTGAGAGTTGTCTACTAACACATGGTTATTGCATACATGTGTATATGTTGAATCGAGAGACAAATTTTCCAAAATGTATAGTACATCATGTTTATATATTTCACAACTTCAATTTGTCATTTTATTTGCCATAACTCTTACACTACTTTTATCCTACTCCTGACATTCTAGTCACACCCAAGTATTCTTCCTGCTCTTAGCCAAGATTTTCTACTGATGGTTCAATAGGTTGTTCATCCCTGTATATGTCACCTTGAGATGATTAATTTTTAAGAGAAATAAAAGTGATCAACTTTAGCAAACTGACTTGGGTTTTCAAAGACATACATGCTTTCACACACAATCCAACTGAAGGTTATTGTTTGTATACCTGTACTAGTACAAGTCGTTTCTTGTGTGTGTTAAATTCTTTTGCCTGATATGGCCACAAGAGAGGCATACCACGGACAACTCGCTAGGGGGACATGCTTGGTGCCAAGTTGACTGGTCTTTATCCAGGAATGAAAGGGTTGTTGGGAAGTCTCAAACGCGTGAACACAGTGGGCATGCAGAACGAAGGCAATATTTTCGCATTTTGGTCGTAAACTGATTAATGGCCATGAATGTAGACCTCAGAGAAAACTAGCAGACGAAAAAAAAGTTAACGATCGCGAGTGTTCATGACGTTCCTTCGGACTCCTTTGCACAGCATGCATGACCTAACTTACTGATATGAGAGTACGACTTGTAAACGATTCTTATGTACCGACAGGAACTAGACGTCAAACCCACACGGACGTGCTACATCGCTGAGCATTAGACCTCCCTGCTTTCCCATATCTCACCGCTCGGAGCATGACCATCAGTGCTATTGCAGTTGCCCCAGTAACATCAGTGAGTATTGTTTATACGTACTGTCTGCACTCCATCAAGACGAGTTCCAAGATCTCATACCTCCACCAATAATCCCTTTCTCAGCAAATATGCAGATTACGGCCTAACTTGCATAACTCTAAACATACACTGTGAACAAATATGGTGCTTCCATGTCTGCCATACCAACAAGGCAAGTTCCGTGTGTCAGATGAATGAACTTATAGTGTGAGAAAGCCGTTTCTCCTTCATAATGCGAATTCGGCCCTAATTTGCATAATTTGTTTCTGGTAATGTTCCTCTGTACCCAAATTACAGAAGTGATGTCACGTGTACCCTACAAAGACGAAGAACGTGACAGAAGGACACACACACAGACACAAACATACAAAAGTGGGCCGATACCGTATGATCTGACCGGTGGTTATGTAGGTTACTGACATGGCACTGTCACAAGGTGAGACGTCTTTTATCTACCGGATCCGCGGATAAAAGTTCGTGCGTGAGTTTGTTCACCTGCCGGCGGCGCTGATAAAGTCGTCTGTATCCGGCTGAGGGTCAGGTCCTGGGAAAAGCGCACATGGCAAGGGCCGCGGAGGGGGTGGAAGGTTCTTAAAAACGGCAACTCCTGGAGATATGGGTTCTATATTTATACTCACATACACGTTATCACTTCACGTGAGATTTTTCTGTTAGAGTAAATTTGTAACTCTCAGTGCTAGCTATAGATAGACTTATACAGTCCACCTGTGTCGGAGTATAACCTATTAAACAAGAAGCCATGAGTTTCAAATCGTTATCAAATTCTGGAGAAACTGATGCGACAAGCTCTGGAAAATTGTACATCTGCACTTTCCGCATCCCGGGCGCTCCCTACAGCGGATACAGGGCCGTATTCTTTTCCTCCAAGCTCGCTTCCCGCGCGGGGTTGCGTGAACTTTCTCTGAACTTTTGCTACCAGTGGCACTCCACCCGCGAAGTTTACGCTGGAAAACTCCAAATATTGTGCTCTGCTTTAGTTCAGGGCCTTGTTCGGTAATTAAACACGATATGGTTCCGACATTCCACTAGTGAAAACAGGCAGCGGCTGGTTTGTGTCGGCGGCACGGACCGGGACCAAACACACCCCGGTCGGGGGCGACCCGCGGTCCGCTATACGCCAAAATTACATCCCCAACATCTGTTTACTTCACTTAGATTGACGAGTCACAGACAACTTGAGAAGGAACGTTTGTCTTACTTCTACAGTGCCAACTCATAAATTCTCAAGCCGAACACAAGCACGCCATTTACCAAGTTAAGTTGACAGATGTTTGTGTCTAAATCTTCTTTTATGTCCCCTCTTGCCTATAAATGTCAATCACAAGTTATGAAGAAGTTCAGACCTGACTTGTGCTCTGTGACTACTCTAGTGTAACTGTGTTTGTCATCTTGGTACAGAACAACGGACAGACGAGCCTTCCTCTTGGCATTAGGAAGAACTCTTGCTTCCTAAACGCATCTGCGGGGTTTCGATATTCTGGATATTCTGATTTTTTGTTTCAACTGAAGATCAAGTGAATAGCGATGGACTGACTAGGATATGACGTCGTTGCCTCGCATTTGATATAGATCGCCTTTCCGTTTATCACTGATAAGGTTAATCACTTAATCTATCGAGGTGTATTAACTAGTCAAACTGCAAATGTGTTAGCTATGCAACCTGCAAGAAGTGTGTCAACTACTTACATTATGAAAATATGATAACCTCTCAAAATATGAAAATGTGTTAACTACGAAAATATAACTACTCAAAACATGAAAAATGTGTTAACTACTCAGCTCAATCTGTAAAAATGTGGACAGTTTGTGAAAATATATCAACTTCTCATTATCTTTAGATAAACTACCAAAGCGCACAGGTGCAGCCATATAGACCTAGATATCCTGCCCAGGTGACCTCCACGTTCATGTCCGTCCTGTGCACACGTCAGTGGATCTACGGCGTCCAGACAGACATGTCCCTGTCTATTACCGCGACATTGTCCTGTCGGCTGGGGGCGGAAATCATTAAAGGTTTTCTCCGTCTGTCCTTCCTCCCTCGTGACAAGTGAGATCGAGAGATTCTTCCCGACTGTCAGTCAACCGTCCCCGAAGAAGAAAAGGGGAACCAAATGAGCAAATTTCACGTCCCAGAGGAAGGGAACCGCGAGCTTCCGTTCTGGGATTGACTGGGGCGCGGTCTGACGGACTCTGTCACCAGAGCCTGATTGGAACTGATTTGGCCGGACCTCATTCTCCGCTTGACGGTTAACACGTGTCGCTTTCGGGCCAGTCGGAGACCGTTTGGCAGAGGTCCGCATGTGTAAATCTCTGCCGTTTGGAAGGACATTTCTTGTCATTATTTACTGATAGCGACAGCGGACACTTTGTGGCTGGTGCGGACACAAATGTCATTCGGCACCTGTAGTCGTCTCGGGATGGAGCTCCCCGCTGACCGGCGAGAACACTGAAACTTTTCCTCAGAATCATCCGCCAACTTCCGTGGTGTCATCTCTAGATTCACGCAGTAGAAAGCAAATTCTACTTTGTGTCTTCCTTTACGAGCAAGTATTTGGATAAGCCTTGTTTCTATTTCGATGCCAATATAAGACTGACGTCTCGAGTGGAGCCTTCTACAAGTGGTTTCACGCCGGTGGGAGTAATTCCCGCCAAAAGTGTCGTCCTCAGCAGATAACCCGTCGTCTGACAGGACTGGTGAGTCCCCGCGCTGTCCGTCACCGTGAGACCCGGCGTGACAGACAGGAGATTGACAGGCGAGTGGCCGCAGCCGCCCCGAGGCCAGCCCAGCTCGTGTAAGTCATGTTCACTTTAATCCCGGAAGAAAACAAAGACAGTCGCTTTTCTCGGGGCAGGAAAAAATATACAGAATCAGAAGTTGTTTCTGTAGTCGAAGTGAAGCAAAGTTCGACGTTCACATTCGATACTGCTTTAACTACATGTCGGTGATAATCATTTAAAATTGGCTATATCGTTTTGGAAAAGCTTATCAGATGACGTATCTTACTACAAAATTGAATCGTAGATACAACGTACGTGACTTGTGCTGTAAATTTTAATAGATCCCTACAAAAATGACTTGCAGTTTTATGATCCTGTAAGCTCATAGGATAAAAGTCCAATTCATATGTAACGACCTTCCGTGTGCCTTGTCTAGAAAAGCACTGTAGGACATTTTTGTGGAAAAGAAAAAAACATAGGTTATAAGTTGTCGATACTTCAGCTTTAGTTTTAGTAATGTACATTCTAAACGTTCCTTGAGCGGCTTAACGCGGCCATGTTGGTATGATATTCCCAGTTATGTAAGCAAAGAAACACTTGCAGGTCGGAGAGTGTTTTGGTGTAGGGTCAGATTCAGGTCAAATTTGCCGTCCGCCCTACTTCCTCTTCTAGAACGGATAGAAAGTTTCTGACACCTGACCTCCGGTCGGGGGAGGGCCAACACAGGCTTCATCAGATAAGCACAGCTCTCCATTAAAATCTATCATATCATGTACATGTATGCCCTCTGATGTCAGCACTTGTACTTCGCCGCCTGCCCTATCGTTCTAGTAAGGCACAGAGAGCAGCAAAAGTACAGCCGGTAGAACTGGTGGATGTAGTCAAGTTTTTTCCAGATCTCAATAGCGCGCTAGCGGGAGACAAATGTCAAATCTATACGAATTGTAGAGAGAGATCAAGCAAGGTTGTTACGGACTGTTGTATGTTTGCTTGGCGTGACGGACATTTGGCTCATCGGATCGTCTGCGCCTTTTTTTGGCGCCAAACGTGCTCCAATTGTGTGTCACCTGCGTGGGTCACGTTGGACGCTGTTCAGGCACAGGAAGGTATTATTGTATGAAGATAGATAAGCCTGTGTGAGCGGCCAGGAGTCATAGACATTGCCTGTGTTTTCATAGTGTGTACATGTACTTCCTATGCTGGCGTTCTGAAAGTGCAGTCTATTGTGCCGCCCACAAAATGTGACATACTGTAGTTGGGTTTTGCTATGAGCTGTGAAATCCAGGCTATAGGAAAGGAATTAGGGGAAAAAAAGAGTTGATAAAATATCATCAGGTCAGCCAGTGTACCAGTGTGAAGACGTGAAGTCTAAACCCGACGTGAAGACCAGCATGTCATAGCCGGGTTGCGACAAGCGTTCACTGAACACCACAATGAACGTTACCAGTCATTGTTTACACCTGAACACGTACAGGTGAGTCTACCGTGATGCAGGTGCACCAACCCGACGTCGTCCTCCTGGCCAGGACGTACAGTTTCACGGCTGAAGACGTCGACTTTTACCTGTACGGCAGGAACCCCGTCCGCACCGTCCAGCTCCCCGGGCTGAAGAGGAAACCACAGGACCCGCAGTGTGAGTGGAACTCTCCCGTCACTTTCTCATAAAGTCTATCGGTAGTGCTAGGATATCATTTGTGATAGGAGTGTCCTCATTTATGTAGATATACACTTGTGCTTCGAAAATTACCGCATGGGTCTTATTATCATTTTTGCCAGCCTAAAGCGATTCTTTCATGGTATTTCGTGGAAAATACTAATAATCATTCGTTATGTACATGTATACAACGGGAGGAACAAAGACTATAGCAGCATCTATAGTCAACTTTTCGTGACCTTTTGCCTTTTCTGACATGTTTTTCATCTAGTTTGTTTGCTTCAGTATTGCAATGTGATTTTCAATGCGTCCAACACTAAACGAACAGTAAACTATTTGTGAGGAAAAGTATGAAACACCTGCGTCGTTCGAATCCACCATACTAGATCTAGACCACGATTAACAGAAAAACACGTTGTCAATTTTCTATTCTTGGCTTCGACAGATTTGAAATCAGAATCTCAAACTAAGTTACACAAAAAAGAAAACGTGTGGCATCTCGGAAAATAATGTATTGCCGAAGCGTGTGATCACTGGCTTCCCTCAAACCGCCTAACGTAAACATGCCACGGCCAACAGAACGCACCTGTTATGTCGCATTGTCCTAAATCTCGTTTTATGAGTCAAGTTCACTTAGAGAAACCCGTAAAGAGAGGAGTGTTTGACGACTTGGCCAACGGAATGCTAAAGTCGTAAACGGTTTCTATATAAGTATTTATATGCCTTCCATTTTCCTCACGCACGAAATGTTCATGAGTGGCATATCTTTAATTTACCGACTTGTTTTTAAATAGTTACATGTTGAAACATTGTAGATGTTAACGTTACGAGGTCTTTATTCAGTTGATGCAATCCTTAACCGTAATAAATTATACAAAGACAGATAAAATTGTTCAATCAGATAGCGTCTAGCGTTTTGCAACTAAACTTCCGACAAGCGATCAACCAACTCACAACAACATCTTCTTCCTTCCCGAAGTGACCTGTCAGTTTCAACGAGCAACATCGTCATTTTCTCTTATTTGAAGTGAAGAAACGTCTGTGATTTTCCACGAATTTCAGGGTGTGACCTGTGTAAGGAGGATCACCAGGGAGAGTGTCCCGTGCACGGCCCGCTGCACTCCCTCCGGCGGATGGTAAGCGGCGCTCCTGCCGACCAGAAGCAACCCAGCCAACAGTACCCGTACGCTGTCACTAGTCTACCTGACGAGGTAGGGCGATATGAGGATAGATAGTGATCGTATCCTTTGTACCATCTGTACTACCCTACCCTAAGGCCTCTACCAGGCTTCGGGAAGCGGCTGGGAAGAGTAGAAATTGGTCAAATAGAGCTATAACACAGGTGACGAAACTGTACTCTCTGGCGGACCAACTCCCCTGGCATGTTATCTCTCTATTTGGCCAATTTCTACTCATTCCAGCCACGGTAGAGGCTACTAGTACTGTACCCCTCCCCGTTCCAATAGACTTTTTCACGGATCCAATTGCATGCTGGGAGACCCAGGGCACTATGGGTAATACAGGGAGCAAACAACATCATTACCATTATTATAACCGGTCTGGTCTACTGGAATACTGTCAGAGTAATGATTTTGTTTGCCACACCTCCCGCTACTCATAATGCCTCACTATCTCCCAACATGCAATGGGATCCGTGAAAAGTTCACTTTTGACCAACCCGTGCCGCCCTGCAGGTGACCCTGTGCCACAGCAGTATCCCAGGTGAGGGTTACGGCATCTGCGCCACCAGGACCATACCTGTGGGCACCTGGATCGGACCGTACGAGGGGGTGCGCATGCGCTCAGGAGAGATGTCCTGTGCCATTAAAACAACCCATTTCTGGGAGGTAAGACCAAGACTAAAAGTACAAAATTTTGAATTATATCACATCACACCAGACATGCGGCATAGTTATGTTACAGATAAGAAGTTTCAATATACCAGTAACTGTTTTTTCAAGTTCGGATTACGGATCGTGTGGCAGGTTTTGGTCACACAGTGAACTACATTTATTTTTGCTGCAACCAGTACCTTCAAATAAAAGTCAAGCTGAATAAAGTATTCTGCATATGTGACATACGTTCAATTTTTCTCGCAAATGTACCATTAGTTTTACTTAAGTTATCTCTAGTAGTGCCACGCCCCCGTGTCCTCAGCACCGTCACATGCTATCACATACCCCGCCCGATGACGTACAACAGGCGGCAACATTTCTATTTCTGGGACAGGAAGCTTTCAGCTCTGGCCGTTGACAGACTCATTAGGATAAAAAGATCTCGTTCTGCACCAGGAAGCGGTTAGCGCGGGAATGTTTAGCGTCCACGCACCTGACAGTTTACCGTTATCAGACGACACGGCTCTCTTGTCGCTGAGGACGCGCTTTGATGTGGGGAGGCGGCCTGCAACACGTCAAGCGTAATGGGACGTAATGACTACCGTACGGGGTCAGGGTACGGCGCGAAAAAAACCTACACGTCCTCCATGTCTGTTCTCGGCGCTTTTCTTTGCACACAGCTAGGTCAAGAAAAAATTGCTTCTCTCGTGCAGTGGTAATATAGATCTTACGCATTCTATGTGTCCAACAGTACTGTATAGACGTCCCACTCCTACTTTTCATTCCCTTTACCTCCGTCGGTAGATTTGGGTGTGTGCAGTGAAGGTCAAATCCGCGCGGAGAAATAATGCATTCTATACTAACGTCAAATGCCCATAAAAGCTGTGCACGCTTGTGATGAAGTCTATAGTCTTTTGATCCGTTCTTTCTTTTCACATTAACCGCGTCATCATCATATGACAGGTATCCGACGGAATACTGGTTGCATTATTTTCACGTAGAGAAGCTTCTCTGTAACGTTATTCCTGTTTAGCCTATTTAACGTTTTATCATCAGATTCACCTCTTTTGATGAGCTGAGCGGTGCCCCTCACTGACTAGCCAGCCCGTGGTGCGATGTTGTCTGCGTTGGCATGGTAACGGAGTGAGGAGCTGTGATTGACCTTTATCCCCCCTGACGGGCCTCAGAAGGCGGGAAACACTGTGCAGATCGCGGCGGAGGCCTGTTCTCAGTCAGACGCTCGGTGCATTACCGGATCGTGACAACAACAGCACATTTGTCTCTATCAGATCCGGGCTCACTTGTCGCAGGAAAACTCAAACTGATGCCAGCTTTTGTAAATACACTTGAGTTCACCGGCGGGGCAACGTAAACTCTGGGAGGCGTCTTGGCTTTCTTGGAAAATCCCGAGAACTCTCCACTTCTGGGTCTTGTAAAACATGAACTTGGAAGCGAAATCTATAGGCTAGGCTTAAGCTTCCATGCATACATTGTTACCACTGGTAAATACAGCATATCAGTAACGATAACATTTTCTTCCAGATCGTTTTTAAAAGCCAACGGAAAGGTTTTGATGTGTGAAATAAACAAGTATCGTGTTGAAGAATATGAATGACACTTGTTGCGACCTACGACCTTTTCCACGACATCTGAATTTTTGTACGACAGCAAATTAAGAGCATTCTTGTAGATGCGTCGTGACTGTGACCATTTACCAGGCCTACTTAACTACGTACTAGTACCTAGCCCCATAACCGACACTGGTCGTCGGAGGGACTAGGCAGACTTTGCAGAGATGATGCCAGACTGTCCTATTCTGGGCTGCTGTCAGATTTGCTCATAACAAGACATGTACAACCTTCATATACTCGAAAAAATCGCATACAGTACGGTTTCAAAACGACGGCTGTTTTGTTCCAGATGTATGAGAACGGAATGTTCAACCATTACATTGACGGGACCGACGTGCGCCGCGCCAGCTGGATGCGGTACATTAGGTGTGCCCGGCACCGGGCCGAGCAGAACATGGTGGCCACGCAGTACAGGGGCTGTATCTTCTACAAGATCTTCAGGTGAGTTCTGAAGAAGAAATGGTGACCATAGAATGTTGAAAAGAGAATCATTGAACCAATCTAGGCGGTCGGCATTTGATAATGATGGTTTCCGGCACCCTAATTGTAGTCGTTACACCGTGATCGGTTTGTTCCTGACCCTAGATTGAAGAGGCCTGATGCGACGGTACTGCGCCTCTAGATTTAAGACAGTTTGGGAATAGAATTGTTAATAACTTTAACGTTATTTGACAGAGAAATCAAGGCCGGTGAGGAACTGCTGGTGTGGTACGACCCTGACTCCTACATACAGTTCATGGGCGTTCCGCTAGGGCGCAGAATCAAGGATGAAGACAGTGAGAAATTTACTCTTTTGAAGATAAAACGGGAGTGATTGTGTTCACTAAGTCTATGCATATCTAAAGCTAAGAAGTTAGAAAATAAACAAGGAAACAAGAATAAATTGAAAGTTTTACAGAGATATTGCGTAAAGAACTGGAACAGTTATAACAGGATATTTTTAGATCTTTGTCATGAGAAACGTATATGATGAGATGATAATATGAAAAGGTTTCAATCCAATGAATTATCCAGAATAAGGACATACGGTATATTATGTAACAAGCACACTTGCCGAATAAAGTACATGAAGCTTGAATATTTTTCAAGTCACAGCGCCACCGTCGGTAACCATGGTACTGCAGAAGAGCGGGAGTCAATCGTCGTCCGAGATGGAATTCGAAGCTAACAATGTCGAGACGGAGTCTTCCGGTACCGCCTCACCCAACGGACACACAACTTCATCCCAGAACAGACCCTCGGCAAGGTATAATTCTGTTCGGACAAACCCACCCAAACACACGGGGATATTCAGCGCCAGGCCGAGCCGTCAGCGGCGTTCTAACAACACCGTGACTCAGTCTTCACCTGACCAGGCCGAGGTGCTGGGACAGGGGGCATCTCAGCTGTCCTCCGCGGGGAGGAACAACGATTTCGCCGACTGGAACCTGTGGAAATGTGGCCAGTGCTTCAAGACGTTCACGCAGAGAGTGTTGCTACAGATGCACGTGTGCTCCCGTAACCCGGACCGGCCGTACCAATGTGGCCACTGCACACAAGCCTTTTCCCAGGTAGAATCTGTAGCACCATACCGGTGTGCTGATTTGTGTCTTTTTGTTTCACCCAAAACTGCAACACATTCTCAGCATTTACGACGTCTGATGTTGACTTATCCAACATTCTATTTCTCCTCCAGCCGATAGACCTACGGAACCACGTGGTGACACATTCGAGCGATCGGCCCTTCAAGTGCGGGTACTGCGGCAGAGCGTTCGCCGGAGCCACCACTCTCAACAACCACATCCGGACACACACGGGGGAGAGGCCCTTTAGGTAACTGCGGCTGGCAGAGGGGTCATGTATCTTCAGACAACCTTGGGGTTCACATGAGTTTTCGTGTGTTAGTTTTTATGCATATGTTGTTAGTTTTTCAGATTGTAAGTTTTATTCTTCTCACGATTTCTCGTACTGGAAGACCATGCTTTGTTTATTCAGGGCTTTCACATTCTCTTACGTCTACTTTCGTCGTTAGGTTTTCTTTTTTATTTCATGTACTTTACTTCCAACAAATGTGTAGGATAGGATCGATGTTGTCACAAAACGTCACACACATACAACAAAGGCATGAGAACAAAACTACATTTCCCGGTTATGTTTGTACACTTCTTGGCAGAAGCATGGCTATCTCATTTAAAAAAAATCATAATGCGTCAAACATGTAGTGGTAGACGTTTGTGTTCTCACTGTCTAGCCATGATATCAATTAGATATTACTTCACCTAGTACACCACTTATGCGAGTGTTAAAACGTTCACACGTTGGCAGACCATCACGTTTGTAGTAACGTCGAATGTGGCTTGACAGAAATGTTCAGCAGCATGCATAACACAATTGCATGCCATACTCGCACAACTTGTACATAACATTGTCATTTTGTTCTGATAAAAGTCTATGTTTACTTTCTTGTTGTTTTGTTGTGTGTTCATGTGCTGTGGGATATATTTATGATACTAATAACTGCGTTTTCCATCTATACATCTATAATATATATATATCATTCATCCATACATCTATAATATCTATCAAGATACATGTTTCGTAATTTACCTTCTCACATTAACATACATGAAAATACTGAGACTCAGTCAGATAGATCCTTCCAAAAAGCACCCTACGTCTTAGGAGTTTGTTTCTTGCGTGAGCAGTTTCTGTCAAACAGAAAATAGACAGTCTGATTAAATCGCGCCCCTAGCGGCGCGCTGCATTATTGCTCCCTAAGACGCCGGATAGCTACTACCTGTATACATGTAGCGGGGGAAGGGGGCTTACGACTTAACTCGAACAGGGCTTGAAGTAATAATTAAGTCACTACTTTTGCTGTATTGTCTTTTCTTCTTTTCTCCACGACCAAAGATGTGGGAAGTGCAAAAGACGTTTCTCCCAGGCCACCCAGCTGAGCAGACATCAGAGGACATCCGGGGACTGTCAACAGGAGCCTGGGAACGAGACCGAAACGGACGAACAGAGCGAAGCCTCGGCGTAGTTCCCCTCTCGTTCCACAACCCGCACAGGACGACAGTTTATCTTAATACGTGTATGTCCTGTGATATAGCTGGTATAAAACTATACTAGCTTGATAAAACGTCATAGCATGAACAGTTAACTAGCTAGGCATCTATGTTAGACCTGTCCTATGTTATACCAGTACGTTGTATGGAATAAATTACAGCTTCGACCATTAAAAACTTAATTAAAGTCGTGCTTTCGTGATGGTATTTACCTGCATCATTTCAGCATAGATCCATCAGAAGGACATCTCAGTATTTGATGTTTACGTTGTACCTGTCCTTGGTGCTGACTGCTGACCAATGTATCATGCAGCTATGAACACTGTGGCTGTCCTTGGTGCTGAACAACGTATCAGCTGTGCACACTGTATCCGTCCTTGGTGCTGACAAATGTTTCAGCTGTGCACATTATGGCTACCATTGGTGCTGACCGATGTATATCGGCTATGCACATCGTACCTGTCCTTGGTGCTGAACCACGTATCAGAAATCACAGTATGGACATCCATTCATAACTTCTATGTCAAGCTGTCATGTTGAGTAGAATTTAAAAAAAGCAAGGCTAACTATTGTTGCAAAGATAGTCACCAGGGCCACAACGATAGAAAGTTCGAGAAAAATGTACTAGTATCATCCCTTACTGCAGCCTCTATTGCAGACTCCGTCGATGAAAAGCTCTGCGGACGTACCCTTACCCTATACCTCAGGTATTTACACATATGTTGATGAACAGTGATGGTCATGATACACCGGACAACGGACATTATTCCACCGGCATAGGTATAATTGCAAAAGCCATTTGCTACACTTTCTAGCCTCCCAAACAGCTAAAACGAGCAGTTTGTTGCGCTACATGTATACAATAAACTCACACAATCATTTTCCTGTGACGATTTTGTGACGTTTCAACTACCGTTGGTGTCCCAGAATGCTTCGCGTTTTACTATCATTTCTTTATTGTTGTTTATCTGGTCGTCTGTTTTTAATGTAATTTGTATGCTCACGTCGCAGTATTCTGCTAAGTAAAGGCCCGCCCAAGAAAAGGGTGGGGCTACCCGGTAACCAAGGGCAACGGTCACCAGCCAAGGCGTCACGCCCCACTCCCAGCATTCCCTGTACTTCCTGTTCGCTGTCACAGGTCGAAATGACTCGCCGGACGCCCGTGGGTGGGGACAGGGAGGGTTTGGGGGTCGGGCAGGGGAGGACAGGGGCCGAGCAGCTGTCAGGGGACGAGAACGAAGAGGCGCAACAACGTGTGCTGCGTGACGTGGACATGGGGACGCCGAAACAGTACTCAGTCGGTACGTTACCCCACGCCCCCCTCCCCACTTTCTCATGAACGTGAAAAAAAAAACAGTACCTGACCTGTTGTGATGATACAGTAATTGCATTTACACGTTTCCCTCGCACCATAGTTATCGTATTGTATAATAGTTTTCGGACCAATATTTTCTGGCTTTGTAAGATCTATGGAGTATCTAGATTTTAGTAATGTTGCAACCGTCCATAATCTCGTATAAACGAATATTATTATACCGACAAGGACCACCATAAATTATACTAATATCATTAATTCAGTTACGCAAAATGTCGACAGCTCGTTACGAATCACGGGGATGAATAAGCTCTCCTACGAATTGCAGTAAATCAAAACAGCTTGTGTACACCGGTACACCTAACGTACGGACAAGGGGCACACAGCCCCCTCATATTTACATGGATGAAAAAGATGTGTACACGTACACTACCACACACGTACACCCCTTAAAGCAGTCCTAGCCTGACATTGCTATGGAGTTCTATCTTGATTCATTTTCTTGTCCATGCAGTTCAGATGCAGCGGTTTGCCGGGTTTGGAGTTGGGCTGGCCAGTCTTCTCACAGAGAATGTGCTGTCCCATCCATGTATCGTCTTCAGACGACAGTGCCAGGTAAAGATTTTCACTTTCACTTTTGAACATTATTCTGAACTCAACCAGTCGTTTCCAGATTGCAGCGCTTCATCATAGAAATGTCAGATGAACATGTTTTTGTGTTTCTGCCAGGTTCACCACTGCTCCTACCGCTACCATCTCCAGCCCTTCTCTGTCCTGAATGTGATGTTGAAGATACAGGGAGCTCAGGTATGAATGATACTTCTGTCTTACTATCCTCTACTGTAGACTTTGTACAAATGTGTGGCCCAATGGCTGTAGAGTCATAGATTTGCACTGCCCCATATACACCAAAAGCTGTACATGTAGGAAGTTTATCTCAGTTGCTTTTGAAATCAAACCTTAAGCAAGAAGAAGATAATATCCCCTCATACTAAGTAGCTTTTTTCATGGTTAAAAGGTCTCTTGTACTTGTTTTTTAGGTGTGCATATCTAGATTACCCCTCTCTCTGTACAGTTTGGATTCTGCCATTACATTTGAGTTGTTCTGTTGCAGGGCTTCTCCACTGTGTGGAAGGGGATGACCAGCAGGTTTGTGGTGCAGGGCATCCAACTGGGCAGTGAGGGTATCATAGCAGAGTTTACAGACTTTCCTAGGTATGTAGTTCCCACATTGGTGAGATACCCACTTATTATTTGTACCAACTGTGTCACATATTCATAATTTTTGCTTATCAAAAAGATAACTGCTTTAAGTTGTGTACTAGTATTGATTTGAAATCAGTGAATAACTGCAAATATCATTATCCATAATGCAAACAAGTTGCAGAAATTGTCAGTGCCTTATACAGAATTGAATCCTCAGTATTTTTCTCTGTGTTTGCTATGTCTCAGGGAAGTGACCACACACAGCACCTTCAAACAACTCTTCAAGCACATTGCACTGAAGGGGTAAGTATCCCATGTTCCACCTGTGTTCTGCTGACATGTTTAATATCACATGCTAGTAGGCAATGTATTGAATAGTCCATCACTAGACTATAGTATCAATCCATGTATTTAAAGCTTTAGATGCCATATCATATGTTTCAAACTTCTGATGATGGAAAAATTTGCATTTTACAGGTTGAGCATTGTCGTGACCTTGCCATTCTTCTGTGCCAGTCTGATAGAGACAGTCCAGGTTTGTGCATCATTTACACATGTATTTATGATGCTGGTACTCACCACCATAATGTGTAAGGGAGAGGGATGGTTACAGGAGCATGTTCTCTGACATACACCACTGGACTGAGACATGAACCATTATCAACATGGAGAAAAAAATTTTTTAACACTATGATAAGTTGTGACATACATTGTATTCATGTCCATTACTTTTATTTTCACAGTGGTCTAACTATTGTACTTAGAGTTGATGTACCTGTGTTCCATACTGAATTTCAGAGTGACATAGCCAGTGAGACCCCGTGGGTTCTGGACTGTGTGAGGGAGGGGTTCCGGCGGCTGCTGGGCTGGGGTGCCCCCACCACCACCCGCCTGCTGCCCGTCTGGAAGCTGGTCCTCCCCACGGTGCTGTATGGTCTGCTCCACTATCTCATCACCTCCGTCGTGCAGTACATCGCGCTGGTCCTCCTGCGGCAGGGCAAGGACCGCCACAAGTTCGACATGGACGAACCGCTGGCCGACCGCAACATGCTGGAGACGTACTTCCCGGAGCTGCTGGCGACGTTCCTGGGGAACCTGTTCTCGGACGTGCTGCTGTTCCCCCTGGAGACCGTCATGCACCGTCTGCACGTCCAGGGCACACGGACGATCATCGACAACACAGACTGGGGCGCCGGCGTGCTCGCCATCAACACGCGGTACGAGGGCATGGCGGAGTGCTTCCGCGGGGTGGTCCGGGAGGAGGGCTTCTTTGGACTGTACAAGGGGTTCGGCGCCCTGGTGCTACAGTACCTCCTCCACGCTGCCATTCTGAAGATAACAAAATGCATCTACGACGTGATGTCGGAGAACTTTACCTCCAGACCTAGAGCGCCACCTAGGCAAAGACAGCAGTAGTGCAAGTGTGTTATCATCATGTCAAAGTGTATATGTATGTATATGCAGGGAACTAAATGGTCTTAGAGCAAGCAAATAGCTATAACTGCTGAAGTATCAATGTGTATAGAATACACAAGTTAATGAGAAGTAAATGTATTTCCAACTTGTTCATGTTGTCTACATGTAAGGAAGGCCTTAGATATCTTTCTTTTTGTACCTTTGTTATTAATGAATTTTCCTTGATACATTCAATGATTGTATCACAAGAATTTGAGAACACAGATGAGCATGCTGTGGAAGGGTCCTTGTGCATATGCAGATGTGCACCTGTATGTATGATATAATGTGTAATGCTTGAACTCAGGAAAGCACAATGTTGGTACATGTATACATATTGGTACTTATTAAGGTGCTACAAACTATCCATTAATTTTCATATTCCTACAGGGCCAGATGTAGAAATTCAAAACAAAGATGTAGGACTAGGAAAACAAAATTTTGATTGACTCCTATTGGCCAAACAACTAAAGTTAAATTACATCAGATGAGAGTATCTGAATGAACTTTGGTTATAACAAATTTCAATTTCTCAGTGTCCATATATGTTGAATTGTCCTGTGTCTAGTTTGTTATCATTCTACTGTTATATCTGTTGGACAATCGAGTTGAACTATTGTATGATATTGATACTGAGACCGTATGCTATATAAACATGCCATTGTAAATGTGTATAATGCCTTATTTATACTTTCATGACTGGTGCTGCAGAAATGTGAGATTACGCCATCGTGAAATTTAATGTGTGAATGTTGTGGATGAATTTTATTTTCATGAAAATGTTGCTTGTTGGAAAGCATTGTTACATGATCCTGTAGTTCTAAATGTAGGGACTTCTTACAAAAAGCCCAGTGATATACTAGTTGTTGACTGAATTGGAGAAGAGCTACATGTACATGTGAGATGACATGGCACCAGAGCATGCAGTGAAGTGAAGTGTTGTCAGTACAAGTAATCAATAGCAAACCAATAAACTTACCAGTGAAGTGATCAAAGTGTGTGCCTGCTTGTATCATTCATTGTATTGCTTTTTTTTAAAAAGCAAGGTTTGTATGTTCTGTTCCTTTAATGCCATTTAGTATGTATGTATTGTAGTATAGTGCAACAGCATTTAAGTACAAAATGTATAACGAAAACAATGCAAACTAAGTCTACGGCACAGGTATGCCAGTTTGTTCCACCATCTTCTGAAACAGGACCCATGCACTCAACCCACCTCCATGTTCCTACCTGTTTGGAACATAGGGTGTCGGAACGTAGAGCCATCCGTAAAGGACATGCCCTAGGAAAAACTTTACCCTGGGGATGCAGCAGTGATAAAATTTCTCCGCCTGAACTAGGATACACTTTATTTCCAGTAAAGAAGTAAGCACATCAAGCATTCGCTATTTGGCCACTGGAGTGCTTTGAGCACCTTGGAGGGGACGGTGGAAAGGGGTGCCAAGCAAGCAGGTCGTTGATCTCTGACATTGGCACGACGCCGACTTCCGTCATTTCACCAAACTGCCAAGGATTCCAGCTTGGCCAACTGATGTACTTGTGCACGTTTTCAATGGCAAGCGGCCACGTAGATTAAAGTGGTGGGGCGCGACCAACGCAACTGGGTCGCAACTTACCTGGAGGCAAGCATTATATGAAGGACACGATGCACCTGAAGAACAGGTTTTTCCATTGTTTGCAGACACATTTTTTTCTAACACATTACGTCTAAGTCACACACAAGCCAGACGATGCAGGCCTACGCAACAAGATGCGCGCTTTTGCCCAAATTTCTGCGTTTTCGACAGATTTCTACGTCCCAAGTTGGGAAGGTGCTAAATCTTGTTGAGACAAAAGTTCAATGGACCGCTCAAGCGGTTCCTATCAGAGGCAGACCAATGCTGGTGGGGTCCGACAGCCCCAAGTTTCCAGAGTTCTTGGCTCCGCCGAGGGACGGGTTTCCCTTCGTGTACGAGGCCGCGGGAGGGGTTAGCGCCACTGCCGAGGAGTGCGCCTCGGACATGAGGAAAGTCATTGACGAGTTGCTCAGAAAGCGTGACGAGGGAGGCGTGCTCTTCCGAGGTCTGCCGATCTCCACGAGCGAGGGGTTCTCGAGAGTGGTCCAGAACCTCGGGCTGAATGTGTCGCTGTACGTCGGAAACGCGATCAGGCACCAAACCAACGACTTTGTCTACTCTGCCAGCGATCAGCCGCCGGAATGGTGCATAGAAGCGCATAACGAGTTGGCCTACACCAACTACTTTCCCGAAAAGGTACGACTTACCGATGAGGTAAATCAAACGTCTATGTCAGACATATGAAATACATGTATTTAACATTTTCCCGACGTTTCGGTGACTGATATCGCCTACCTCGGGGCAAGGAGGTTAACCTCCTTGCTCGGGGCAAGTTCATTACACAAAAAGTCTTTTCTGTCTAATGTCCTTGCTCAGGGCAATACTGACTGGTGCTACTTCGCACTGCAGCTAGATGTCGCTGCTAACACGATGTTTGTTTGAACACGCCTGCAGGTGATGTTCTTCTGCCTGGAGCCGCCCGGTCCCGGGGCCGGGGAGAGTCCGTCATCACGGACGTGCGGGAGGTCCTGCCCCGCCTGGACACGGACGTGGTGGACAAGTTCCGCCGACTCGGCATCATGTACACACACTACGTACCGACACGGACTCCGGGTGGTTACAACTCCTGGCAATATGTACGTACTACTAGTATCATCTTTCACTGCTCTAAAGGGTAGTGCAATGTGTAAGGAGGAGACGCTACCACAATCTCAGTTGAAAGTATAAAAGTATTTAAGCCATATCTCAATCTCAAAATTTTGCTACCAACACACATTTTGCTACCCAAAAATAAAGTTAACATC